TCACTTCTTCTTCACCTGAGCTCGAGCAGGACTACTTATGTGGAGGATGGGGAGACTTGGTCTAGATTCACCTCAGAATTGACTAATTAGCGTCTCAACCCTTCCAACAACATTACACACTGAAGGGGCCCTGAAACATCAACGGACAGCAAGAGCCTCCGAAAGATCGAGAATCTCGAAGGTTGCAGCACAACTTGCCGCACTGCCGTTTAGTATCTCACAAAATACTCGAGAGGAGTTTCGGGGGTCTTGCAGGTACAACCACATGAAGGAACCCATGAGGATCAAGCCAGTACATTACGAGCCGGTGGCTAATTCCAGTCAACTTTCGGAGGGTCTGGGGATGCAAGGCTTACAGCTAAGGGTTCAGGGCAGGCTCAGTGGAGATTTCTTTCGGGTTTAGTAGGAATTCTGACTCATGTACCGAAGGATAGACCTCCTACATACAGACTTAGAAGCCTTAACTGGGAAGCTAGCGACTTCCCTGACTGAGCATTACAGCCCCTGTCGCCTCACCCAAGAATAAACGCAATCAGTCCGTACTGCTAAGGCTGTCGCTGCATCAGGCTTTCACCGACACCCGCTAACGTTACTACTACACCCTTAACCGCCCGAAACCCTAAATCTTAAAGCGAAATGCATGCGTCGGGAAACACCATGAACCACCGTAGACCCTACGCTCTTAAAGCCGAATACATGCGTCGGGAAGCAGGCTTCAACACCTTGAAGCTGCACATCAGCGTCTCATCGATGGACATCATGGCACCAGCATTGTCGAACTCCCCACCTGCGGGCCGTGAGCTCCCGAACCGACTTCACAACCTTTAGGTTCTAGAGGATCTTGTAAGAGTGGCGTAGGAGTTTTGTAGGATTGTAAATGAGGTTTTAGAAGGGCTTTATGGAGTACCGTAGAGAACTCAAACTACTTCGTAGATAAGGGCGGACATAAGATGACACATCTGTTGTCTCGCAAGATTTCGGGCATACGGCCTCATTCATCTCTGCTGGGCTCTCTATACCCTGGATGTCATTTAGGTGCAGGGCAGTACCCTCCCTAAACCTATCAGCGGCGGAGTTGAAGTCATGGCACAGTAGTTGGGCGCGCTGAATAGCGTGATCAGCTGGCGCTTGGCGAAGAACTCGTAACCTGGAATCCCGCGCATTCTGTGGTTGAGGTCATCATCACAGAGCAAGGCTGAAAGCCTGCAGGTCGTTGTAAATTGGCTGCACTTCGTCGCCGACAGGCTCACTGTGGGCTTTGGCGTAAAATCCCTGGTCGGGTTACATCCTGAAATCTGAAAACATCGCTTGTTAAACCCTGTATCTGCATGTAAACCTCTCAGCTCATAGCACACAAAAGCCACCCCTGAAGCCTCAAAGCTAAGCTTCATCCGAGCTTCCGTCTTCAACAACCTGATGGGCCCGGCATACCAGGTCCATGTCCTCAGGTTCAGTTTCGCCGCTTAATCTAGGTGCCTTAATTATTAGAATTGGGTTTCGGGGTATATTATACTATACTGACTGATAAAAAGAAACCCCCAAAACAATATGGGTATTAAGGGCTCCTTATTATATTTATCTTAATAGTGGGCCCTAGAACCGTTTTCTAATTATGTTGTACTGTCGTTATCATGTCCTTAGTCCGGGACGGCCTAGGGTTTAGGGCCTGGAGGGCCTACAGTCCAAGACGCGTGTTTCTGAAGGAAGCTTGTGACAACATCCGGGCCAAAAATGAAAGAGACGCCACGATCGTTCTCAGCCCATCCGGCAATGTCCTGAAGATGGCAAGGACATGGACATTGGACTGCAATGCTGCAGTGCCGTTCACAAAGATCTTTCAACATCGTCCATCTGCTGCATAGACTTATGTAGGAAATAGTAGAAGCGAGGCTGGGCCCGGTCAATCCAAACCAGACCGCTATGCCTCAGCATCTGAAGCATTAGTTTCATTAGTTGTCCAACTGCACATCTTCGGTCATACTCCAGTCTAGCGTTGCAGTGCGTGTCCTTGTCAGGGTCTGCCCACAAGAGGTCGCAGATCAAACCGGTGTCCGGGACGTCAGTGGGGCGTACGATCCGTTTGACCTCTCAACATTGAGGGCAGCCAAGTGGCTGAGCTAGGAGGGAGGGGCGAATTACTTGAAAGGTCGGCAATGTCCATGTTGCCGCCGTCTGCTGAAGCGTGTGTGTGCGTGTGTGTGTGTGTGTGTGTGTCGGTGTGGATGTGTATGCCTGCCTCGATCTCTGTCTCCTTATCCGTAGGTTGTAGCATGATGCGGTCTGACACCCGTATGACGAGCATCAGAAGCTACGCTTGCAGAAATGCTAACGTTGACCACATTCGCAGCGACCCTCAGCATACATCAAATTTTCCGTGCAGGTGCACTTATGGGTTCAACCTTTCTATGACGATGAACAGCATCTTACTCTATTTCTCTGCTGAAGTAGGCAGGGTAAAAGATAAATGGCAGTCGAAGAGCCGTTTGACTGACAGAAACGTCGTACAAATACGATTACGAAGTGCAGCACATTCCCAACTCTTAGCATCGGGTTTTGGGGCCCATATACCCACAAGCCCTGGTCGCCAAACCATTCAGCTCATGAAACCCTATCTAAACCCTGAGCACTCAACCCTACAAGGCCCAAATCCTCTGATACTCTCAGCCCCTCCCTAGCAACCTTATTGTGACCTTATACTTGCTCTTTTCATGTGGTTTTGGGTCCGGCAATGCGACTTGTAGTAATTGTATAGTAACCTCATAGTTGCCCTTTTCAGGTCTAGCTGGTAATAACTGGTAATACTTATACAGCAATCTCATGGTCTTATAGCCCTACACCCTACAGTAAACCCTTATAGTAACCGAACAGTAGCCCTGGACCCGCAAACTCTGAATCCGCGGCTAGCCTGGTCGAAGCTGGTGATCTCAGGGGAGAGGCCGCCTGAGAATCTGCTGCGGACTTGGCTACACGTTTTCTTTTTTCTTTTTGGGGGCCTTTTTGCGACTGCACGGTTTATTTCGACGCTCACACTCGCACGCAGCAGGCAAGGCTCACGGTTTATTTAGGGTGTAGGGTTTAGGACTCCGGTGGTTTAGGAGTTCAGGGGTTTAGGGTAAAGTTCAGGAACTTCCGGGTTTCGACTCGCGCAACTCTGCAGGTGAGGCGTAAGGAAAGACACATCGGCCGGGTTCCGGGAAGCCTCGGAACATGAAGCCTGAGCATCACTTCAAATCAACACCGCTCTGATGTCTCCACACTCTCCGATAAAACGGCTGAGGGTACTTAGTACCCGGTGGCATTTATTGTAAACTACACGAGGTGCCTAACATTTCGTCTTCTGTGATGTTAGACAAAGCCAACGACAGTGCTATCTGTGTCGCTGCTGGTCTTGCACTGTTATATCCGGAATTGGTCGCCTACCGATCCCCTAACTGCATCCCTAAACCCTACAAAAACCCTAAACCTTACAACCCGAGCCCCCTAAACTCGAAACCCCTCAAACCCTCGCAAACCTAGACGGACGGTGATATGAATCTCGTTTACTATAGGGGCCTTAATACTTAGAATAGGGTTGGGGGGTTGTAGAATACTATAAAAAAAGGAACCCCCAAAGTAGTATAGGTAATTACTGGGGCGACCTAGAGATCCACGACATTCCACAACAACACTCGCATAGATTGGAAGGGGCCCCCACCCTGTAATAGTGGTATAACAGGAATATAGTAGGGCCCTGATATAGTCCTTATAGTCACTATTACAGGGTGGGGGCAGCTTCTAATGCATAGACTTGAATGAGGTACTGCAGCTTGCATATGGGGCCCCCAAGAAACCCAAATAGGGCCCCAAAAAAGCACCTTTGCAAGAATATGGTTAGGGATATCCCATATAAACCCCCTTATATTGAAGCCGAATAAGGTAGTGACATCCCCAAAATTTCTTTATGCATGCGTGCTTTTCGGGTCCCTAACAAAATGGATTTGATGACAATGCGGTTGCTTCAATCATCTAGAAAAACTGCCCTTCGAGATCTAGACGGCTCCAACGAGAGGGATTTCCAGTAGAACGGCGAGGGATGTCCAGTCGATGTACAAACGATAATAGAATAAATTGAATTGGAAGTGAAGGCTATGTGTTTTTTGTTAAACATGACGGCATGCAAGTTGCAACTCAATGTCAACGTAAACGCAAGAATGAACGGAATTGACTAATCACCATATTATCATCACAGCGGTTTTCGCTCATGTCGTTCGTCTCTTGCTGCCCTTTGCATGCTTACGAAAAAATCAGGAGAGTTTACCGCTGGGTTTCACTAAAGTTAAACGGGCAACGATAAAGTTTATATCGCGTAAGGCTGCAACCTAAAGTCAAAACTGCATACATTTATGGAGCCGAACGTAGCCTGCCGGGCTCTTGACTTTCAGGGAGGTTGGAGCCACTGACACTGTTTTACTTCACAGGCTCTCTGTTCTATCTGTCTTGTTGCACACTCAATCTCTCCAGTCTCGCCCGAGCTCTGTAATTCTTAACCGGTCGTTGATTCCTTGCTTTCCTCCAAATTGTCTTCCTTTCACCCTGCGTCAGCGTCCTTTGTGTGAACATGCTGCTGCTGTCGTCTGCTGCTCTGCGGCAGGCAAAGCTTGCTCGAGCCGCCGGGTCTGCTACAATGACTATGGAAGTGAAGCTACAAGCCCATTTCAAGCCCGGGCGAACAACATCAAAGCAGACAAAAGCAGGCAAGGTCTGCTGCTAATTGTATCAGCCAAGTCGCCGTGCATGCAAATTATCTTCTCGTCAATGATAGCCTGAGGAACAGCTGAAATCCACGTCCACCAACATCATCTGTATGATCGAGCTCATCGTCTGCATGGTGGCATCAGGAAGCCAATCGAAGAAACTGAAGCAACAGCGACACCCGCATCAACAGGAGTAGTGGTGGTAGTAGTTGTCGTGGTCGTGGTCTTGGTCGTGGTAGTGAAAGTGGTGGCGGTAGTAGGAATAGCCGGTAGTATGCAGTAGCAGTAGCAGTAGTAGCAGTAGCAGTAGCAGTAGCAGTAGCAGTAGCAGTAGCAGTGGCAGTAGCAGTAGCAGTAGCAGTAGGAGTAGCAGTAGCAGTAGCAGTAGCAGTAGCAGTAGTAGTAGTAGTAGTAGCAGAAGTGGTGGTAGTAGTAGTAGTAGTAGCAGTAGCAGTAGCAGTAGCAGTAGCAGTAGTAGTAGTAGTAGTAGTAGTAGTAGTAGTAGTAGCAGAAGTGGTGGTAGTAGTAGTAGTAGTAGTAGTGGTAGGGTAGCAGGAGTAGCAGCGGGACTCACCGTCGTAGTAGCTGTACCAATCGCCGCAGTGTAGTAGAAGTAGTCGTCGTCGTTGCCGCTGGTGCTACTGCTGCTGCTGGTTTCGCTGTTGTCTGGTAGTGGGGAGAGGCCGAAGCTGCAATCAAGGATGGCACGCAGTAGCAGCACCACAGCTCTTCTGTCACGACACGTTCGTAAAATCTACTGCAGTAGCCGCAGAGCTGTGGCACCCCAGTCTAAGCCCGCGGCGCAAACAGGCATGCAGTTGAAGACGTCGCAGAACCTAGGTTGCCATGAGCATCCCGTGAGACACCAGGGAGCTAGTGTTTCCGCATGGATGAAGGTCTAATTCTAATGTTTCTAGCAAGGCCTGCGAGACATAATTACGATTGCGTCCGTGTCCGGCATCAAAACAGCAAAAAGAGCACGAAGACACTCAGCACCTTGCCGAAAACACTGCTACATGCTTGTTGCAACAAGCACTGTGAACTCATGACAACCGAACCTCTGCGCACGACCGTGTAAGGGAATGGCTGCTTCCAAAGCTTGATGTTGTAGCGTCTCTTGCATTCCTTGGTTCTTCCATGGCGTCAAGGCCACTGCGGCATGCAAGCTCGCCTGCTGCAGAATATGAGAGTTTCAGTAAAAGGGTAATGTGGACTCTGCCGATAGGAAGCCCACAGATACTGTAGTTGTCAGAACCCCCAACATCGGTACAGCAGCCTCTTGTAGGGTCCTAAAGCACCCAGCCGATCGGTCCACCTAAACACGGCGACGCGTTTCCGGGAATAACAAGCGCAGCTAGGGTGTCTAGGTTGTGCGGTGTAAACCCAACAGAACGGCTGGTGATGAACCAGCGTTTCCAGGGTACAGCCCGTGAGGTTGCTGGGCCCCTTAAGCTAAGACTTTCGGACGAGTTTAGGTGTCAGGTTAGGGTTCTGCATGCCTTCTCTCCCACAGACGCCATGAGCCAAACATGCAATGATCTCTCATCTGACTCGGCGCGGCCAAAGCCTCTGAAACATGTTTTTTCATAGGATCCTTGTGGAACCATGCAAAGTGCTGTGCACAACTGAGTCATTCCTCCCTCCCTGAGGAATGCGAAGGCCAAGGACAAAGTGCAAAATGCTTGCTTATTTCAAGCCCTTGTATGATGCATGCCCTCAGCAAATCTACAGAGTCTAGATGTGCTGTGCGGCAGATATGAGTGACCTATCTCTGCGTCAGTACCGCCAGACTGCACAACGACGAGTCTGTGGCACCGGGGCCATCCGCAGCCGTTGTGCTGAACTTTGCTTTGAGCTGCCATGCTGTGGAAGGCTGATATCTGAAAGATATCTGGACATTACAGCCGGATCAAGAATCAGCCGAACCCTCACCCAGAAAACTGGTTTTGAAATGTCTGACCCAAGCGATGCATAGTCTTCGTGCTACATGTCTACCAGCTGCAACAGGTTCTGCCCGAGTCATTCAAGCCGAGACGCATCATAGAAGCCGTAGATTCGTGTAATGGAAGCACACCTGAGGGTGCACCATGCTGAAGAGGGTAAGAACGCCCCAAGTGCAGGGAAAAGGCTTGCAAGTCAAGGCTGGACACAGGGAGTCAGGAGACAGCGCATCAATACTTCTGTCTCAACAACACCCGAGAGACGAGCACGTGGCGAACGCAACCCGTCGGCAGTCCGAGGTCACATGAAATCGCTACAGTAGCACCTGCATGGTCCCGAATTCTAGCCCGCATAAACTGAACAACATGGATCCTCACTGACTAGATCTGACTAGCTTGAAAAGCCCTACACAACTGGAAGACGCCCAAACGCCAAACCAGAAAGGCGATCACATACTGGAGACAAACGACGAAGGGTGTTTGCCTTGCCAGCTTTTCCAACAAACAGCGCATGAACCCTACTTCACAATGGGAGTTTCCAAAAGTAGGAGTGCGTTATTGTTTTCCTTAACTATTTAGGGTACTATATTGGAACCCCCTGTACTTTCGGAAACCACCATCTGTGCTGGCTGCCCTTACAGGTCAAGTGCCTTCTTATATCACAAGCCGGCCCACAGTCCCAGATCTGCTCCAGGCGTTTGCATCACTGTAGTGGAGAACAGCAGTAACTCGATGTAGCACCCGTTTGCAGCTATGAACTCCGGTATGACAAAGAAGCCGCAAAAATAGATGAAAGTTCACATCTCTGCGGGTACGGAGGAGGATCCAGGCCGGGCTGCTCGTGGTTGCCACGCAGGAGGAAGAAGTTCTCAGGGAATTTCACCTGCTTCTGTGTCGGTCTGTCTATGCTTGGGGCAGCGGATCAGTTTCAAGTCAGACCGGGAGTTGCTGCGGCTTTCCAGATCTATCATGCAGAGGACTGCGTGGCGGTAGCACAACACGCATAATCAAACATACACAGAGAGTGGGCACGACAGGAAGGGCTACAAAGCCATCAACCCCCAACACGCTGGCGTGCTACTCACGGATTTGGAAGACCTGAAAGCGGCCACGTCGGAGACAATCGCCGAAAAGCTCGGTCGGCTTGAGAAATGTAAGAAACAATTTGAGGTTCAAACCACATCATTGCACAGTCGTAGAAGACAAACAAGCTACCAGTCGCACCAGCTTTCAGGTGCGGCCGTAAGCCACATTACCACTCCAATTGACCCACCGACCCACCGATCCACGCCCCACCCCCACCCTTCGCACCGTGCACGCATGTGTGCGCGCACACGCACAGATACATACGCACACATAGATAAGTCTAAGTCCGAGCTCATGCCCTGCTCAGGTCTGCCAAAAAGGCTCCTGGCCTTGTAGGAAAAAAGCAAGATGATGGTCTCCAAGCTCTGCTTGCCACCTGCCACCAGCTTCAGCTTTAATTCTGAAAGCCGAAATATATCCGAAACTGTCGACTCACATCCGTACACCTTTGCTGGACATTGCAATCGAGAAACGTGAAATGTTTTTTCCGCCGAGTTCTGCTGTGCAGGGTGAAATGCGCACATAGGACGGTAGGTGCTCCGGCCCATGCAGCAGCACAAGACAAGGCCCGAACTTGAACAGTTTCTATTTGTCATGCTACTATCGACTGGGCCTTTCCAAATCATGTCATTCAGGCATTCTTCGGCAAGACAACAACCGTTCTCGGCATGACATGGGAGATTCAACGCGCATGAATCAGGGTATTGGGGTTTGGGGGTCTACATTATAGTATGTTCAGGATTCATAATCATAACTACAAGGGATTCATTCCTCCTCTGACCACCTCAAAAAAACTTCCGCCGGCTCTGCAGCTCTCAACTCAGCACTCATGTGGGCCAGTCGTACACCTTGCAAGATCTTCCAGGAGAAATATTGTATGTCCTCGTCCCAGTCCAGACACGAGGCTCGCTTGGCCAACACCTTCGCACGACCCCGCCAAACGAGCTCGGTTTGGAGACCATACAGACAGTGTCCATGAGCGGGCGCGAACGGGACTATGCCAATCAACCCACAGACCAGGCGCTCTACCGCGAATGCACTTGCCGATCTCGCTGTCCCCCCCGATCGAGCTGGGTCGTCACTACAGGGCGAGCGTCCCAGCGACGACCTAGCTCGATCTGGGTGAGAACGACAGCAGCAAGGGCCGGCATAACATGCAACAGTGCAGCTGTTCTTTAACGAACCGCCTGCCAAGCCTCGTGCTTGCAGAGGCAGCACATGAAAGCACCCTCTTAAATCTTCGGCGAATTTCTGCTCAAGCAGTTTCAACGTCGCAGCTTCACCCTGTGGCGCCATGCGCTTGAAGCTGCAGTTCTGCGACCAATCTCGCCCTGGTCGCGCCCTCCAGCGCATCCCGAAGCGGATTAGTCTCCTAACGTGGATACATGCCGCCCTTGGCTCCGCGACACAAAACTGCCAAGTCAGCAAGAAGTGCTGGAAAGCTCAGGTCTGGTGTCAACAGGCAGCCGCAGAACCCATGTTCGTGTGACAGCCCCTCCAGGAAAATCCACGGCGAATGCACTTGCCGATCTCGCTGTCCCCCAGATCGAGCTAGGTCGTCACTACAGGGCGAGCGTCCCAGCGACGACCTAGCTCGATTTGGGTGAGAACGACATCAGCAAGGGGCGGCATAACATGCGACAATGCATCTGTTCTTGAACGAATCGCCTGCCAAGAACCAAATTCAGCCTCGTGCTTGCAGAGGCAGCACATGAAAGCACCCTCTTCAATCTTCGGCGAACTTCTGCTGAAGCCGATGGCCAAGTGCCCTTCAGCAAGAAGTGATGAAAAGCTCAGATCCGCTTGTGTGCTTCAAGCAGGCAACCGCAGAGACCATGGTCGTGTCACAGCCGCTCCCCCTAAATTGGGCACTGCAGCACCTGACCCTGGGCCCTGTGCCAAAACTTACATGCGTAGACAAATACATACATACATACATACATACGTACGCACGTGCATACATACATGCATACATACACACGCATACATACACACACCGGTACATGCATACATACATACATATAGACAGACAGACAGACAGACAGACAGACAAACGGACAGACCAACTGGCATAAAGCCATGCAACAGCATATAAGTTTCCATACACCCATGCATGCCTGCATGCATGCTTACCTAGCGACGTGATTGCATGTGTACTACCCGCTGCCATGATAGCCAAGACCAAAAGTCAAACAGTACTGCGAAACACAGTGTGTAGTTGATCATGCACAGCGGTTCAGAACCCATGACTGATCTTCCATATAGCATGCCCTAAACCCCTTTTGCGTCCAGGCCTATTGACCTATTGCGACTGCCGGGTACCTTGAAGAAAAGATCGAAACTCAGGGCCCCTAAACCCTACATGCGGGGCGGCGCTGCTTTCTCGCCAAGCCACGGTCCACGTAGTCGCCCAGGAAAAGGTAGTTGCTCTCAGGGGGGAAGCCGCCGTACCTTTCAGATGCAGCCGCCGTTTCGGCCTAGAGTCTGGGCCCCTTATGTGGTCACGCCTTAAAGGCCCTGTAGAAACATCAACAGGTATAATCCCGGGCCGCTTATGAAGTAAGGGTCGTCTGAAGCATAGAATTCGGAGGAGGGCAGTTGGCTTGCCGATTTCTCCCTTTAGACCGTCGCAGCACCACGGGCCAAGGGACTGTCCCCCATCGTTGTGTTCTTTGACAACCAGGATCAGACAAGATGACCCCAGAACAGGTGCCGAGAGGCTCGAAAAGACGCAGAAGGTCATGATATTGACCTCATTGCATCACGCTTCGGACTGAAGGGCTCGGCTCGAGCTACGTTGCCACGCAGATCAAAGAAGACCTGCGTAATAAATAGCCGCCTTCAGCTCCGTCACGTTGAGGTCTTCTACTCCCCAAAATGCAACCCAAACAGATTCTTCCAAGAGCCGAAAGACGAACAAAAACTCATGGCTGTAACTAAACGAAAGGAGCTGAGCTCATTTATTACAGTTATTGGTAGGCGGGCAACACCAGCAGCAAGCAGAAGTAGGCATTGTGGCGAGGAAGGTGAATCTCCGGAGATTCGTGCGACAAAGCATATCTCGCAACACAGCACTGCATAGGCACAGCAGTGCAGCTCAAACGAGCGCAAGGACCCAAGCAGCATTAGCGGCAGCAGCAGGGCATTCCAGAAACAAGTAGCAAAGAACGTCTGTCAGCCCTTGTCGATGGGGTGTTGGTGGTGGGGGTGGGGGTGGCAGTGGTGGGTTGTGGGGATGGTGCTGGCATGTGCTGCCGGAAGTAGGGAATCGTCAGCGATCGTGGTCGTAGCAGCAGGGGCAGGCAGAAAGGCAGAATGTAGCAGCCCATGAGCAAGTCGTAAAGTCTAAAACAAGGAGTAGATTCTGTAGCATTGCCGAGTTGCCATGAACGTCACCGCAGATCTTCAATGGGGCTTCCAACTCCTTAGCCAGTCTTTGCTGTACGTCGCGAACCAAAAATGCAAGGCAAACCCAAACATCCTGAACCGGCGAAGCGGTTTCAGGCGGTCCTGCAGGCTGGGAACACTTGCCAAATTCAACCCACCATGAACTAACTATCTACAAACCGCGCCCGTTGAATGATTCTTTGCACATGTTCGACACCTCAGGAAGTATTCTGCCGAGAGGCTCATTTTCGCCTTGAAGTATTTAAGCTTGTCAAAGTGGTGATGATGAGGATGATGATGATCTTATGATGCGAGATGCCATGCTGAACAGTCTCCCAATGCCTTCAATGCAGCACCTGTAGTAGGTAGGTGGGATCCCTGTCCTCACCCGCAAAGCGCTACACCCTTTACAGCACTGACTCCGGAACACTAATCTCCGGATGCCACTCTTTTCTCGTTTCCCAACTTTAATCCCCAACCAGCTCCGCTGGAACGTAATGAATACTTCGGGTTGTCGGGCTGGTCAAGCGCTTGCGAACCTCATCGGCTATGAGTCTTCGGATGATCTGGGTTTCGAAGAAGCAGCCCTCAACCGGAAGCAGCCCAATTGGGTGGCATGTCGCCGCCCGCACCAATCACGAACAAGCCCAAGCGGCGAGCAAGGGACTTTGGTCGAGGAAGATGGCGCGAACCTGGAAATTCAGTTCAGGGCTCAATGCAGACCTCTGGCTAAGTATATGTCAGGATCCTTATTAGGGGCAGGCGGGTTATAGCCAGGGGTCCACATTTCGGTTTGGGGTTTCTGGGGTCGGAATAGGGCTGAAGGTGAAGCTGGAGGTGAAGAACGATTTGCGGTTTAGCCTGTGGGGGGAATGAGCTTGTCCTGCATCCCCTCTGTAGCATTACAAGCAACCTAGCCAAGCCTTGCAATGTGACGTCCATACTCAACCTCTGTAAGTTCGTCCCCAGGCCCTCTAAGCCCTAAACCCCTAAACCCTATAGGCCCAAAAACCCTAAAACAGGAACCAGACGTTGGCTCCTAAGCCGTAAACGCGGCTTTGATCCGCCTTTACGAAGAAAACGGTATCGCAGTCGCAGTCTGATGCGTAGCTGTGGGTAGCTACAGGCCTGATTCATGGTGGGTAGTGGTGACGGCTGTCGTGGTGGTGAGTGCTGGCGTTGATGTTGTTGTTGCTGCAGCTGTTGTTGTCTTGGTTTTGCTCTTGTTCCGTTTCTTGTGCTAGTGGGCGTCGTGGTCTGGGCAGTGATAGTGGTGGTGGTAGTCGTCGTTGTCGCTGTCGCTGCAGTTGAGGGTGTGTCGATTTGAAGCCAGCCCCGTGCCGAAACTCGGGGGGTTTGGCACATCGCACGTTCGACAAAATCTTTTGGAAGCGTCCAAAAGTTGCTCTGTGATGCACACATGTCAGCCTGCTTTTTGGAGTTTGCTCCATGTTCCATCTTGGCGTATCTTCGTAGTCTGCTTCGGTGCGTTCTCACACCATGTTGCACCAACAAGGAATCATTTACGACATCTTCCCGCATCCGTCGAAAAATGCTGCACACAAAACATGTCTAAACGGTACAGGCAATTACGACAAACGGTGCCTTGCAGCACGAACAAAACAGATCAAGCACCGAGGTTTTGGCACGTCATTAATCAGATCATTATCAAAACGACGCACCCTCCACGGCGACATTTGCACGGCCTACCTTGTTGTTGCTGCGGTTGTGGTTGTAGCTCTTTGCTTGAAAAAACAACTGCTGCGGCACACAATAGCAAAACAGCAACAAATGAGTGCTTGACATAGGTTGGTGATTCGTAAAAAAAACTACTATACCAGGCCTTTTTGAGCATTGACCTTTTTGTTTCGCTGGCTAGTTTTCGTTGCTAGCCCGGTAGATGGCAGGCCCTACCTCAAACAAGGCCCCAACCGCTCGGTCTCAGACTATGCATGACTTCGTTAGACCCTCCAAAATCTAAGACAAACACTAGCCCTTAACCCTAAACCCCTAACCCCCCAAAACCCAGAACCCCCCCAAATTCAACAACACTTTCCAAGGCCCTGGCTGTGGTGCACAAGCCTTTCACCTGGCCCTCTGGGATCTGCACGAGCTTCCCCGGCTTGCCTCTCGGGCTTGCTTTTGCTCAAATTTGGGACGGGGGGTAGGGTTTAGGGACTTGGCTAGGGGTTTGGGTAACACCAGAGGCAAGAAGATGTCTTGCCTTGGTTACGAAAGCCAACACAGATGTGACGAACACCGTCGTTGGCAGCTGTGTATAGTGGATCCATATCAGGGAACTTTCTCAAAAGAAACAGTTTCATAGTAATCAGGTTCCTCACCAGCAAATTTCAGTGCTACAGGCTGACATGGGCATCGTGATGTTCCCGGTGTCAGAACATGACAACTCTCAGCTGTGGTGGCCTCTCCCCTGGAGCCTACATGATCTCATGATCTTGCAGTCTAATCAAGTGCTTGAGACCCCTGGAATAGTATTACACCACCGCTGACCACACAAATGAAAGTAACAAGTGGACGAATCTGTGAGCTCACCGGCCTCCTTTCACCTCCAGGCACTTGTCAACAACCTGGTGGCTGGAATGCGGCGAAACTTGCCCTTGGGAGTGATGAAAGAATGCCGCGCTCAGCTTTTTCTTTCCGTTTTTGGATGCTGCGAGGGGAGTGCTGGCATGTGTATGTCTGCATGTACGAGGAGGTGAGGGAGGGAGGAGGGAGAAAAAGAGGAGGGAGAGAGGAGGGAGAGAGGAGGGAGGCATGCGTGCATGCCTGCTGCTGTCAGACCTACATGCAAACATGCCTGCGCACGTATGCATGGGTCGAGTTCTTCACAGAAGTTGTGTCAAGTACTGCTGGAAGAACTTTGCAAAGAAATATTTCTACATAAACATATATACGTATGAATACATTAGCTTATGTATAGGGCATACAAAACAGGTCGATGCCAGGTAGCTGGAGAGCGGTTTTGACATGTCGATGTCGTATGTTTTCCGTTCCAACATGGTGAGCAACGTGTTAGCATGAATCGAAGTGATTGCAACATGAAAACGGGACATGCCTCGTCGATATCGAGATCGTCGGTCTTCTTCATGTTGCCCCTGCCAGATGAGTGTATGGAGGACACCGACGACTTCTTGACATACCCCGAACTCTCTGCCGGACTGTTCAGTCTACACGAAAGCCCTAAAGCCTAAATCCCTTATTACAAACCAAACTCTCATCATGCTGAACCCTCAAACAGCGCCTTCGCAAACCAGGCTTTGTTCAGCGCACAGGGAGAGCTTCGGCTGCAAAGCGCTTGTGTCGCTGCTGTAAGCCCAAAATGGCCCCGTTTGCCGAAGTCAAACGACGTGAGGCATGTCTCTGTATTTCAGTCTGGTTACAGACCTCACCTGCATTTTTCTGCTATGAACTCTGGAAGACGTGGATTCAAAGTGAGGCGATAGCAAGAGATTCGGTAATAACGAAAATTTCACGGTCAGGAAAGCACGGCTGAGCTGTCTGACTCACATTATGCGCCTATGCACATACATAGTAAAGGTAGGTTAGCTCGTAACACTACACCCCGAACTTGATAGTTGTTGCACAACCCAGCTGGTATATGTTACCTAGCGCAGAACGAATACAGCATACACCACACACACTCGTAATTTGCAATAGAGATTGCGCAGTGTCAGTGTATAATGTGCACTCTACACTGATTCTACCACTTGCGTGTGTACGACAGCACGAGCACACTATACAATAAAGTGTACACTGTAGGAGTGACATTTCTGGTTAATTCAGCATGCATAGACACCAGTTTGCAACATGAACTCATGCTGTACTCCAGCACAATCTGAGCCACCATGTGCATGTGGCTTGCAGCAACAGAAACGTCGTGGAGCATCTGTAACTGTACACGGCGATGATAACAAACAGCACGAACAACCCATCTACACGCAAGTGAGTTTCAGAAATCGTGGAAGCCCTGTCATAAGTGCCCTGACTAGTAGTGTCCTCTACCTACCAAGTGAGAGGCTGAGCACGCGCGCGAGCAGGCCTCCTGGCTACCAACTGTAACTGATGAGATTTGGGAATTTAGGGTTTGGACTTTGGGTTTAGCATACTTGCTTTCGGCCCTTTCATTTCCGGAAACTCCCAATCTTTTGAGGCTCCGGGCGCTGCGGAGGAACACGAACAAACGGACCTGATCCTGAGCAGCAGCTGGGAGGTTGGCTGGCTTCTGTCGGACTTGCAGTTCTCACGGGCAACTGGGAGAGATACGAAAGAGTTTCTTGGTGTGTTTTTCTGCTGGTTGTGAAAGACGTGATATTACAAAGGGCTGAGTGAAGGCGCCACATACAGTAAGTCTGCCGCTTTCTCTCTCTCCCTCTCTCTCTCTCTCTCTATCTCTCTATATCCCCGTCTGCTTCGTAGCAAGACAGCCAACATTCAGAAGGAAACTGTGGATGAAATCGTCGAGCTGTCCGAGCATTTCTTGACAACCCGAGTCGCTAAATTTCTTTTCGCCAATCCCAAGCATTGACCTCTTCAACCCTCAACTCCCTCAACCTCAGCCGCCGCAGAATGCAGGGTGCCTCCTCGGCATCTTCCTCTCCCTCCTGCAGGAACCTCGCGAGACGTTGCATGTGAGAGCTGCCTGCTGCACATTGTCAGTTGAGGTTTTGACCTACCCCCGGTTGGAGCTTTTGAGGACTTGCTTTGTCTGTGGGGTTGGTTTCATGTGCGGTTTTTATGTAGGGTTTACATATAGGAGTATTGGGGCCTCGTACCTGCTGCTGCTCTGAATCTGTTGCCAAGCCTTTGTCGCGTTGTGGCACGTGCTGGACCTGGCACCCTTCCTACATCCACTGTGAGTTACAGTGGAAGCCGGCAAGTTAGAACATCAATATCCCCGTGCCCTTAAAGTAAAGTATAGGGGAATCCCAGCAAGACTCATCCTAAATCAATGTTTCAACTTTCTGGGGTTCTCTGTAGCCCATGCATGTCTGCTGCTACCTTCTGATTATTTCGACTGTGCTGTGTTGTTCTCGCTCGCTGGCAACTGGATGCGTTGCAACCAGATTCGAATCTGCCTGCAGACCTTCGGAGCTCCACTGCCGGCAGCATGTCTTCATGGGTGGAGTCTGTCGGTGTAACGGTCCACGCCCGTTGATCACGAAGGTTTAAGCAAGATCTAGTTACGGTTGAAGAAAACCAGGTGATTGCTAAGGTATGATGTCTCCTTGAAAAACGACGCTGCCAACATTGATGCTGATGCCGGTTCTTGCGCGGCACATTCCTAAAAGAGATGCCGCCAACGAAAGACGGTGTGCTACGTGGGAAACCGTAGGAAGCTAAGGCCGCAAGCCAAAGCACACGACCCATCTATATAGCTGACAATCCATGCACGATCTGCGTCTGGATTTATACTGGGTCTCGGAGTGCTGGTACCAACCACATGTGCCTCCAGCGCATGGCAGCTGACAAAGTACGACTCACCCCCGGAAGCTTGAGCGAAACCACGACAGCCACCGCGTGCCAGGGAGACCCGAATGCCGCCGTGCCTGCCTGAATCGATGAACTGTATACAGACTCTGCAGCTGAGGCATTCGCACTTCCAGTGCAGGTTCGCCCGGCTGCTCCACCCCTGTGTCAATCTAAGCTCACAGCATGTCGGGGCATTGATTCTGTCATGGTTCGACTTTCGAGTTACCACAGCCAAAGCCACAGCGACAAACCACATCCGTCACCTCAACCTCAATGTCCCCCAAAACTCATTCAAGGCTCCGGCGTTCCAGCCGGTCATTCAGCTGGTCAAGCCTGAACTGAGCTGGCAAATCAAAGCAGTGAGCATTGACAAGGAGCTCGAGCAACGAATGCCGTCGATGAAAAGTACTAAACACTATCTAACCCAAAGAAAACAGCAAGGTTGCGAGCTAGAAATCACGTCGGCGAAGCCGCCATGCCTGGCAATGAGCTGCAACAGCGCCTATCCGGGCTGTCGGCTACGAAGGTAGGTAATAAGCTCGAAAGGTCTATGTGCCCCAAACAAACTATAGACTTTGACCCAACTGTACCTCTTTCTCAACCCTGAACCCTGAATATCCCTCAACCCTACGTAGGGGCTACTTCAACGCCAACGTATGTACCATAAGGACGCATGGACCTTTGGGGAAAGTTCAGGGCCCAACTAAGGGCTCCTCAACTGAGGGTTAAGAGCATCAACCCCATCCTGAAGCTTAGGAAGGCAAAGCTGTCAAAGACTGGGGTTTAGGGCGCAGAATGTCTGAATTCTGAAGAACAAGCCCCGAACTGGAAATCCTAACCTCGCAAAAAAACGACCCGTCATCTTTTGAAGAGTGCAGGGCTCGTACTTAGAAGATACAAGGACTTAGTAGGTAGGTTGGGGCAATCGAATCAGGGTAAGTACAACTATACTTGCTATAAGCATCCTTTTAATTTTGAAACCAAACTCAGCCGATCAGCTGGGAAGCAGAACTGCCGAAATCGTGCACCCTAAACCCCAAACCCCCAAAGCCCCACCAAGCTCCCGATCCTTTACATACGAACCTAAACCCTAAAGCCCTAAACCCAAACCCCTAAACCCCCCAAAACCCCCCAAAACCCCCCAAAACCCCCCAAAACCCCTAAACCCCCTAAAACCCCTAAACCGCTAGAACCCCCCCAAAAGCCCTGATCTGGTTACGCCCGGAGAGCTGAGAAATGGACAAGCTCCGAGGGGAGGAGGACCTGGGCTTCCAGGGGTTTGGGGTTTAGGGTTTAGGGCTTTAGGGGTTTAGGGGTTTAGGGGTTTTGGGGTTTAGGGATTTAGGGGTTTAGGGGTTTAGGGTTTAGGGTTTAGGGGTTTAGGGGTTTAGGGGATTTGGGGTTTAGGGTTTAGGGGTTTAGAGGCACCGTGGCATAACCACGTGCGGCTTGGATTTGGGAGTTTTCGAAAATGGGGGGGGGGGGTGCCTTTGTTTGGGGCCCTTATAATAAGGATCCTACTATTTAGGGTACCAAATTAGGATCCCCCATTTTCGGAAAACCCCATTTAGGGTTCATAAGATTTAGGGTTGTTTTTCCCTCCCACCTAGCAAGGACGAAGCCCCATTGCGGGGAATCTTGGTTGAACAGTTGAAAGCGACTTGGACTTAGGGTTTAGAGTTTAGGGTTTCGGGGTTTGTGGTGTAGGATTCCCCGTTTGGGTTTAGGATTTTGGATTTGGAGTTGAAGCTTTTTTCCTCCTACCCGTCAAGGACGAAGCCTGCATGGCAGCGTATTTTCGTCCAACTGTGGTCGTCCCACAGCCGAACTCAAAGCTGCCGGATTTCACCACATGCTCTTCCCGCTAATTCGAACTTCTTCCATCATAGGGTCCCTTAGCGGGGCAGGGGACTATACTTCCTTAAATTTAAATAAGCCTTATATTATTAATATTAATTCCTTATTATGTTCATTAAGGGCCCCTACCCGCCTCCCCCCTCCCCCCTGGAGGTCCCTATGATTCCAGCTTGTTGCAGAGGAGGGAGCAACAGTACCTTTTGCAGCGGCCCCACTGCATTTATGTCACTGCTGCTCATATTCGGACTCAAACCTCAACCATAAGTTTTTTAAACGACGTCCCTTTTCCGTTCGCCGAGGTCCATAAGGTTTAGGGTTCCAAATTCGCTGCAAAATGCCTTTCATATCTGCACTTTTCCTGATTGCACTTGCATCAGTTGAATTCCCAAGTATCCCAAAGACGAACTGTCCACCAGCATCAGTCACAATTCAGTTGCAATTGCAGATCCCATAGATTCGTCCATGAAAGCTCGCAGCTGTGGGTTTAGGGTCTGGGTTTAGCATTTATAGGGTTTAGGATCCAGGTTTTTTGCCTCCCACCTTGCTGGACGAGCCCTTGTTGCAGAGCCAAGTCCCGCAGAACAGTAGAGCTCCAGGCAAGGCAGAAAGAGTAAAGGGCTTTTGGGGTAGTGGCGTTCCCTAGAAAGCTGAGGGGTTTCCGAAAATAGGGGACCCTAATATAGTACCCTGAATAGTAGGATCCTTATTGTAAGGACCACAAGATAAGGTACCCCTAATTTTCGGAAACTCCCAGCTCTTTTG